AAAACCTGGAAAATAGTTTCAAATTCCTGAAGTGGTCGATAAGGGGCGTAACTGCAATCTTGAATCTAAAAAAGTGATGTTCCTATGATTTCCGCTGTATTAACTTAAAAATCGACGATAATGTGAACGTTTCGTGTTTGACCATTTTTGCTGTATCTCTAAAATACACAGGTCTACGAGTACAATCATTTTGGTGCCGCTAAAAGTAAAACTGATTTCAAGTATATTCGGTACCCTGATAAAAACCAGATACTTACTTCTTTAATGTAGTTTTCGAGATTCGCAAGAGTAAACAAATTAAAAATTCTAATTAAAATTAACTTAGTCTAGTTGCGAGTAGCTCAGACCGCTCGTTGGAAAGGTCAATGCCTCTAATCAAATTACTTAAAGAATCTTCAGATACAAGTGAAGGTTGACACTTCAAAACCATTGTCACCTTCATCAGAAAAAACTTCTACCATCTCTGTGTCCGACAAATCTGATAGATCTGAAAGATCTTGACTCATAGGAGATGGTACGACATCTGAACACAGTCGAGGTTTTAGCAGACGGTAAATCAGGATATGTCATTTTTCTTTGGTTCATACCATGTAATTCTACAATACACAAATAACATTAATTCATTGTGATTTTTCAGTTCTGTCCACGCTATACTTTAAATGATTACGTTTGCCGTTTGCCCACTGTCTTAAATGTTCACTACACAGCTTGCACACAATGTTTGGAACCCATGGTTTGCTCAGAGCCTTCATCTCTATATTAAAGTAATCAACGTATGTCTTCTTCACTGGATCTGTTATAGGTTTTCTAAACTGTTTCACTACATAATCACCACAAATGTAAGAAGATGTATTTGGATTATTCATACAATATCATCTCGACGACGGAATATTGATATTATTAATTAAAAAAAAATTAATTGATTACAATGACTTTAAGTATCAAAAAATACATACTGAACGTAGCTTAAAGATTTTGACAACTTCGCACAATATCATACGTGCTAATTAACCGAAGTATAGCATAGAATTAGTGGCACCAAACAAATTCTTTTTTGATGAAAAAGTCCCTAAATGATGTCTAAACAAGCTCGCGAAAACCGCATCTCGATATCTAGCTCCTAACCTAAAATTTTGGCAAAAGAAAATTTTATACGAAAATCCCTTAAATTTCTGATTATTTAAACTAATTTTTCTGGATTTTTTTATTATTAAGTTGTGGCCCTGAAAACGACCGATTTAAAAAATGCTGACAATCACGCTCTATGCATTCCTGAAACCTCTCATGGGTAGACAAAACTACAGCTTCAATTTGGATCTAGGTACGTTACCTATTGCATTACGAATCCGGTATTTCATATCTTCTCTGGTTGTATATTCAGTCTGGAACACGATGTCTTTTAACTGTCCCCATAAACAAAAATCAATACAAGTTAATTCTGGTGATCGCGAACCTGTTGGCCAGCCTGAACAGTCTAAAGCCTTTTGTGAACCTTTTTACGTTTTATCTTTATTCACTCATATTATTTTCTTTGGGTAAATAAATATTATTATCATTTTATTTCTAATTACGCTTTTAATGTAGTTGCAGCAATGTTTTTTCAGTGACGCAATGATCGATTAAAGCTAATCCTGTCATGCAGTAAACAAAAATCTACATAAACAAATTCGTTTTGCTTACGAGCAGTATTTGCAAACTGAAACAATTAATAGAACGCATTTAAAATATGCTATACAATTTAATTAAAACGATTCGATGCAATATTTTGGCAAACCTGTTAATGTTTTGTTTGTTAATTGGAGCGGACCAGTTCAATTCCCCATAAAAAAGTGTTAGGCTTTCCTATGAAAACATTTTCTAAATTGCATTTATACAGACTAACATGTGGGGTATCTCCCAGTAAAATAATGACAAGGTGGGTAAAGATTGGCCTTTTATTGACCATCATATTAAAAAAAACTGTAGATATCGGCTTAGGCTATCCCTACTAATATTATAGATGAGAGGGTTTGGTTGTTTGTTACTTAGTCACGCCAAAATGGCTAAACAGATCTAAACAGAGATAAATTATAGTCCGGAATAGCACATAGGCTACTGTTTATTTCGGGATATAACTTTGAAGCATATATTCCACGGGCTTCAGACCAAATGGCTTAATAACATTTGACATAATAAGGTGTCTGGAGGAAAGTACTCGGTCGCTGATCCTACCGAAGTTAATAAGGGTATATAAATAGGACATTTGCACCGTGTATTTAATGCTCTTTGGATATTCGTTTTCTAAGCTCGATCGTCTTGTGTCTTGATTCAGATTTTCTTGGTGTTTTGTCTAACTTCAAGTATAATTCTGTGAATAAACTGTTATTGGGTTAGGATAGCTGTGTTCTATTGTAATTATATTGTAGTAATGTTGTCCTTTTCGTGTGCTTATACATTTGAAATACTGTTCTTCATTGGTCGTTAGTTGGTTTTATTGTCAGTCTTGATTCATTTATGCGCAATTTGCTTTGATTTGTTGGTTTGATATTTGGTTTACCTTAGGTTCACTCTGTAAACAAATTGTTATCAAATTAGTTTTCTGCTTTACGTGATATTGGATTTAAATCATAAATAGATTGGTCATAGTCACCTGTTGAGATTTATCATGATTTGGGTAATCTGTTGTTACTCGATACTCCTTGAAATGGCTAAAAAACGCAAATCTGATCTTCCACATAGTAGTAATAAGGCTCGTTAGTTAGTCCAAGTATACATGTTGAGATATGCCACACAGGCTGTGAGATACTTCACGTACTATTATTGTGATTACTCATTTGCAATTAATTTATTGTTGCATTAAACTGATGAATAAATAATATCAATTGCCAATTACCAGAATAACTATTACATTGCTTTGAATGTAGACTTAGACTAGTTATTATTATTTATGTTAAGTTCAAGTAGGTATTTTTATTTACAAACATTACTATGTTTTATTGCTTATGTCGAATGAGTTATCTAAACTAAAACAGCAAAGGTGAATGAAATATCGGCATCAAGTAGGTTGAATTTGCACTTCCCACGCAACACTGCCATCAGTTCAAAGAATTATGTTTGGCACAAGTTAGTTCGACACCATCAACCAGCTTGAGTATGACTTTTTTTATTTTCTGCCTATAGCTTTGCCACCATTGGATCGATTTTCAAACAGTACATGACCTTTTCATCCATTTTCGACCTTGAGTCGAAATGTCATTAAAATTTGAGCACACAGACAGGCAGACAGACTGAAAATGAGTGGCATAGTCTTTCGTGATGCACATCTCACTTTTAAAATTTCTGGCGATTGCTATACTTCCTCGCCGGTGGCGTGGAAAATGAAAAAGTAGTTAGTATCGGTGATAGTCAAAGGATTATTGTTGTAAACCATTATTGGTTAACCTGAGAACTTTTCCTGTTAGAGTTAGTAACTGAGAGAACCAGAGTAGAATTTTTGAAACTGATAACTTTAACATTAAATTCTGACTTCAGGGTCGTTTCATATATACTTGTATTCAGGCAACGTCACCTCCTGAATACTTGTAAAGCAGGTATATCGTAGTGATTGTTATGAAATGTAAATGTTTTGATTAACCCGTAACCACAGACGTCTAATCAATTGAACATTACCACAGACGTGGAGTCAAAATGACTCCTATATTGGAACCCATGGAAAGCCTATTTGAAAAATAAAAACAAGTTTACCTCTTCTTCTTATATTACTTAAATAGAATTGTTTTAATATTGTTTTTAATAACAATTTTCGTCAGTAAAAAGCAACCAAGTTTTGAAGAAATATATTTATTGCACACAATTTTCGTGAATATTTACAATAACATCTTTGGTACCCTTTTATAATAAAAAAAAAAATGAAATGCGAAGTACTTTTCATACAAAACTCGTTAAAAACGTAAAACAGAATACTTACAATGATTATAAATTAACGTGAAAGTAATATTCTCGAAACGTGCAGTAGGTTTTACCAAGTTATTTTTTCATTTTGCACAGTCCACGCAAACTCTTCTAGTGCAATCAATACATATTGGGATTTTACAAATTATGCAGGAGTGTGCTGTTTTTCGTCTTTTTTTAGCTGGACAACGTTTGCAATATTTTCTGATCTCAAATTTTTCTTCCTGGTTAGCAGTATGGTCTTCTATTTTTAAAACCCGACCAATACACATTCTGACTTCCCAACTGATGCGCATATTTTGAAAATGACGTCTCATTTCTGGTTCCACTAGCAGCATTGCAAGATGTTTATTGAAATTGAAACGTTTCATTTCGACATTATCTCGGCATGACTGATGAACCAAAAAAGAGTTGACAGTGGAAATATCCAGCATTCTATAAAAAAGTGCCATTGACCAACGCCGCGTTCTTCGACCCGTCGAATAAACACTACACTTTTCATCTATGCTATCTACCCCCCCTTTTGTTAGATTGTAAAAGTCAATTATTTCTGGTTTGCCGGATTCCCCTACCTTTCCTTCATTATGGTGCATTGAGGAGACCAATAAAACAGCCTTGTACTTCTTTGGAACGTAAGAGAGTAGGGTAATGTCACTGGTAAAACCGTACAAACTAGAACCTATAGATCTTTGTTTGTTTGGTAGAAAACTAACTGGAATTTCACCTTTATTTTTTTTTATCGTTCCAACGTAGGTCAGGCCTTTACTTTTTAGTAAATTTACTAATTCTATGGAAGTAAACCAATTATCGGCAGTTATGTTTCTGTGCGTGCCGAAAATTGGCTTAGCAAGTTTGAGCACTGCTTGCGTGGGCTTGGAATATAGTCTTTCAGTATCAGACAAGTCGAAACCATCCGAATCTTTGCCACAATAAATATATGCATTATATAGATATCCAGTTCTAGCGTCGGTCAAAGCCATAACTTTTAATCCGTATTTAGAAGGCTTTGCTGGCATGTACATTTTCCTCTAAATGAAACTAACATTTCATCTATACACATATTTGTACCTAGAGTGTAAGCGCTTTGACAATTTTTAATGAAAGCATTGAATATCTCAGAGATTGGAGCTAATGGGTCATTCTTTTTACGTTCGAGTCTAGTTTCTGGGTCATCGAATCGTAAGCATACAAGAATAATAGCAAAACGATTTGAATTCATCACACATCTGAATATATCTTTACCCGATCCATCCGTCGCAAAGATTTAACGAATGTCTTCGTGATTAGATTTAAAGATAGCTGTAAGCATAAGCAGTCCAATAAAAGCCTTCAGCTCAATAATATCTAAGTCAAGAGTATCACTTGAGTTTTTGTTTTTATACTTTTCTCTCAATTTTGCCATACGTAAATTGGAGTACTGAAGAATAATCTGAATTTGGCGGTCATCAAAGAAAAGATTCCAAACCTCTTCTGGATCGGTTTTGTGGAGATTTATACTTTTTACACCCGGACACTTGATTACAATATTGTGTTGCAAAGTACGTGTATTTTTAGAATACTTTGGGTACTTTGGACCATTTGAAACGGTTTTTTCCATAGAAATAGTTTCCTGTAGAAGCGCCGATCGATGTCTCATCGTCTTCAGTAGAAAGTCTCTCACAATCTGCGTCCATATCTTGTTCCGATCCGCTCTCATGATAACTGTAAATGAATTCGGCATCTGAATCAATATCACTGTCGTCTTCATTGACCTCATCCGCCCATTTCAGCAAAGTTTCTTCGAAGTCCGGACCCCATATCTAACTCTCTTTGACGGACCAGCTGTGCTATCAAAAGCCATCATAAAAACCTAAAATTAATCGAACAGATTCATGAAATACAGTAACAAAAATATAAGATTGTCACAGACCTGTAGTCTTTTTGACTCCGCCGAAAATACAAGTCGTAATGAAATGTAAACGTACACAAACAACGCAACCGTCTCAGCGCTAGTTCAATACTACACGATGAAAAGGTACGTCTACGCCTGGTCAGATAGAGGGGGAGAAGACGAGAAATTCCCCACCACGTACTTGCAAGGAGTCAAATTGACTCCGCGTCTGTGGTTACGGGTTAAACAAGGTTATTATAAACGCAGTAAGTTGCATTTAATGTTGAATACCGGCTATTGCGAACCTTAGTTTTCGTCATCTTGGTCATTTGTTCGTTCAAACGGCCGACTGTACCTGACACAATAGCCTTTATGGGTCAAAAGGTCGAAATTACACTTCTGAGAGAACATAAAAGCTAAAAGGCCAGTCTTTCAACTTTATTAACCAATCAGTCTCCAGCGAAACACAAGGAGGACAGATGTAACCGGTTCATTTGTTTTTCGCATAGGCTCCTCTGTAACATAACACTTCAAAGAGCAAACTAATAGCTCTGTCACTCCATCTAAATCGTATCTGTGCACGATAATTAACTGACTGTCAAGCGGTTGAGGTCGGAGGCACTGTGCTGATGAATGCCTTCCGCGGGACCATCGTATTGTTACTCTGGAGTAAACAGGATAACGGAAACGATGAGTAATAGTTTGGGAGCCTTACTGTAAAGAAACAGTTTCAGAACTACAGCTTACGGATTACAGAAGGGGTTAGCTTGAAGGCCTGAACACCACTACAACTCATACAGATCTATTGTGGCCACCTATATATTATGCCTAAAGTAATGTTTTCAGCCTTGATGCTTCAACCATACTACATAGCCTTAATATAACTTTGCCTGTAGCTTAGCCTTAGCCTTGCTAGGCCTCCTCAGTGAGACAGGAGTCGTAATGGGGTTTCCTCATGCTGTGCAAAATCGACTTGTGAGGTCTTCCGCTAGACCCTGGAGCCTCATATATCGATTCAGTGGACAACCTCCTGATAGGACACCAACTATGACCATCATGGCTTTCCTTTCAAGTCCACTTATGCTGTCAGTAAATGCAGGCTTTCGTTGTTTGATGGACCTTCCTTTGCTCTAGCTAGTTGTTTTACCATTCTAGGGTAAGTTTTAATGGACTTCTTGATGCTTGCTTTCACCACGCCACAGAAAGGCTCTGGACATATAGAGCGACTAGTCGCACCTTGTCAGGCTGGCACATTCGCCGTCTCATTTCCTTTGTACCCGTCGTGTCTTGATATTCACAGAAATGTTACTTTGTTTTTATTTGCGCTGTTATTTTTTGCCTTAATGGCTGTTCGACTAAGCAGATGACGATTTACTGATTTGCAGTCTCCTTCCTTATCAGCCCTCATGCACAGACTTGCATTGCTATTACTTCAGACTGAAAACTCCAGCACTAACAGTGAAACCAGTGTATTTAAAGATGGCATACTATACATTTTTGGGATAAGAGTTAAAACTCTCCTTACCTATCAAAAATTTCTATATGGTGTTCATAAGAAAAAATGAAGTTCCTTATGGAAGACGAGAGTCGAAACTTCATATTGAAATTCTAATTATGCAACCTGGTAGAGGAAAACACGTGGCAACGATAATGGACAATTTATTTTGGAACCCTTCTTCCAATAAATTTTGGAAAGAAGACGATTGTGTTTTTCCCGACATTTTATTTACATATTTCCCAAGGTCTCTTGGCCTTCTATTACCGATGAGTCAGTTAGATATCGATAACGACGAAATAATATATGATACAGCGAAATAATATCATTTCTTCTTAGTGTATAGATGGACTTCACTGAGGATTTAAGCACACAACAGCATAAGTAGCCGCGCACTGCTGCTGCTATGAGGAGCTTGAAGAAAGTTTGTTAAACCGATTTTTGAACTGTCTGAGGTTAGTAGAACTGGAAAAAGCCTCCTCATGTAGACTCTTCAATATCGATACCCTAAGGATACAGCGGCCTATGTTGATTCCGAGGTATACGGACAGACAGTCGAGTTTAACGATTGTGACGAAAATCAGTCCAAAATCCAGGAAAGCGCGCCATGCCATGTCAGTACCCAAAAGCTCCGACGTTACCTCTGATCCAAAGATAACCTAGCAACATGACAACTTTCAAGAAACAATCCCTATACAAATCCCACCATGGGATTCTTTCAGACTCCAGCGAGTACCAAAAGGTTAAGCGGTCTCACAGATCTGAAATGTCACGTCAGCCAAAAGCCGTCATGTCAACATCTAAAGCGCCCACCAATAATTCCCCTGACAGGAAACCGAGCAGCAATGAATCCCGGCTCTGATGTCTCATAAAAACCCTCAGAAACAGCAAACACAGAGCCTGTAAGTCACTAATAGAAACATGGATATATGACTAAAGCAGCGACTGCTCACCTTTCAGGTAACCAAAACACTATAAATCATAGCACAGTAACACCGTAATTGGGTTCACACCGTGAACTTGCAGTGATCGTGATACCTATTCGGATGCAGATGATGCCCTGCGAAGCTTGCCCTGGCAACAACTGCCCAGAGAAATGGAATTTATAACATAAACAGGCCTAAGGGCGGTCGCGTTGATTGACATTAACCAGACTTGTGAACCTTCCTGAAGGAACTCGTATACTATAGGGCTGAACTTGCATGCAAAAATGTGTTTCGAATATTTTATATGCTCAAATCTGTGATCTTTCAGTCAGCGTCATAATATGAAAGCTTTTGTCCTCCAGTCTTCGTTTCCTTGTTTTGTCTGAATTATCGACAATCAAATGGTCTTCTCTTACAAGTACCAATTCTAGGCAGACCAGAAGCTATACTACTTTATAAATAGCTTCAAACTGAAAGAAAAAACAATGAGCACAACACAATACCAACGCAAAGCCAAACAAATCTCCTTTGTTAATCCAGCTGCATAACAAATGTGCCATCAGCTAGCATTTACATGCAAAATACTGATTCATGCACAAAATATGAACAACTTGCACAATCGCTATAACGAGTTGAATGCCTCATACACACCAACAAACCACATTACAAACCTACATTGAGTAACGCCATGCGTCAGTGGAAATAATATTCGGGAAAACAGTATATCAGTAGACGACGTTTCCTATCAGAGTCCGAAATAGTAGTAATTCATGGTAATGTTATATGTTAACGGATTTACGAATGGTGACATCCAACAAGTCACCATCTTGAAACAGTGCGGATTGAACTGAATCTGTTTACTTTCAGGCTATGTAACTGTCACCAATCACATACAACGTCGTTTCATGCATTTTAGCAATGAGCAGTACCATGCAGGTCTAGTCATTTGGAGACAGATGACTTAAAGCAGGCAAGCGAATATGAGTCTAACTCGGTATGGTAGTATGCGGAACATAAACGTGACACTACCGCATATGCGGCTAGTTTATGCAACTTTTGCACAGTACCTCAAAGCTGGTAGCATGGCTCTAAGCGAAGACGGGACGGGACGCTTATGTGGTAGACCACCTTGCCGGCTTGTTTTCTTCCTGTCGTCTTTCTCCAAAGCTTTTCTGGCAGGCCTTAGGACGAAAGTTTGCATAAGAGGGCAACGTGCCATACTTGATCGAACGCTTTCGTGATATCAAAAGTCACGACATGAACTTCGCCAAAAGACTGGATGAGTTTTCATCACAGTTGTGCGACATGGGTCGCTGCTACCGGAAACAATACTGCCTATCGCTAATCGAACTGTGATGTCCAAGCTAGTTCAGAAGCTCCCGATTTATGCACCTCTCGACCACCTTACTTATAAGAGAAAGCAGAGCTATAGACCTGACCCTTTTTTTTTGATAAGCTGGACATGAGCAAATCTACAGGGAAAGTCCCAGATTTGTAAGATAGATAGATAACAGATAGAGCAGACGCGAAAGATCTGGAGTAAGCTCCGCTGCACATCTCTGCAGTACAACGGTAGGATTCAAGTACGGCCAGAAGCTTTGCTGATGTCGAGCGACAAGAGCACCCGTGTTGACGAAACTTCTCTTTCAGATGTGCTTGTTAACTTGATAATCCTTAGCTTCATTTATAGGAACCACGTCTGCGAATTTGCCTAAATATTTCACTTCTGCACCATTTTCAATAGTTAACATAAATGCAAAGGCAAAATATACAGGGTCTGCGAAAGGTTGGAAAATCTCGAAGCTGGAGATACTACAGACCAAAATATGTGAATTGACCTAAACACACATCAGTCCAAAAGTTGATAGTTTGCGAGATACAGGGTGCGAAAGTTACAACTTTATTTTCTATTTTTCCTTATTGCTTGAGAAGTATTTCAGATTTTGGCATAAAACTCGGTATAGGGTGGTATTTTAGTATGAGAGACAAGAATCCGTTTTTTTATGGCCAAGCTTCTAGAGGGTGCCACCTACTGCACTATTTCGGTAAATAACTTATTATAAGTTTTTTGTGCTACCCTGTATACAGCAAGTGGCCAAAAAATCTTATTTTCTCGTATTTCCACAACAAAAAATGTTTACTTGTTAGAAGTATCTAAAGCTATTAGTTTTCGAGATATTTGTTGTTAAAAGTTCCAATGCATTATTTGTACCATGATGATAAAACATTTTTATGACATAATAATCAAGTTGCTTTGAATAATATCTGAGTAGCGTTGCTGTGGTTTTTAACAATAACAAATGAGGATGGCAACAAAACTAATAAATGAAATAATAACTACAAAAATTGTTCAAAATGAGCACCACCTTGCCTAACACTCTCGAGCTCGATGAACTAATCCTTGCTGCACTCACCAAAGTATTTAGATGTTATTTTTCATGTCCTGGCTAGGGTGGAAATGTCTATGTCGAAGATCATCTACAGTTCCCATTGGCGTATGGCAAACGCGTAATCTTAAATCACCCCAGAAGAAGAAATCCTTAGGATCTAAATGTGGTGATCTAGCCGGCCACGATTCAGGTCCTGATCGGCCTACCTACTGATTTGAATAAACTTTATTTAGGAGCTCTCTAACTAATATACTAGAATGAGGTGGAGCTTCGTCGGATATAAACCACATATTCATGCGTGTTTACGATGGAAGATCTTCCAACAGTAATTGTTCTTCAAGAAATTGTAAATACCTTTGGCCAATTAGTCTAGGTGGTAACTCAATGGGTCCTAATCATGGCAGAATGGCAGCGGTTAGATGAAGTTGTCCCAAATAATTTGAAGCCAAACCATTCAACATGTGAATCAAGACCACGGTATCTAAAAGCCAATAGAAGCAATAGTGGTGAATCAAACTACAACTGTAGAACTATTTTCACATGCGAGCGAGCTCCGTATTACAATCATTCCGAAAACAAAAACTGCTGTCAATCAAAGCAGTCCAGCTTACCGTTCAAAAAGTACAATTCGAAGATAAAAAAAAGTCTGAGTCATACCCTTGCAAACTTCCCCTAAGCCAGACCCTAGCAGTCATTGACGGGCTGAGTTTCCAGAAACGCCAGTTTTCAGCAGCACTTCGAGTCATGATAAAAACGCTCGTTAGTTCGACCAGTTGCGTTATAACCTTTAGAAGAAAAAACACCAGCACCATCCAAGTATTTCCCATGTTGAACCATTAACATTCATCAAGCTTTATGCCCGTTAGTGTATCCGTGTATGGTTTTACAGTTCTATTCGAGAGCCGGTTGGACAGACGCGACTGCCGTTTTTGTGATTGAAATTTCCCGGCATTATAAATTTTGGGGCGTGTATCGTTAATCACTTCCATGCTGACAGTATTTTATGCTCGGTCCTCCAATGAATGGCGTTTGCCGTTCTAGTCGCATTGAAATCGCATCTTGCAGGTTTTTTTTGTCTACAGTTCGACAAAAGGCGTGTTTGTCAGGATAAGTAGTAGGATGATGATCAGATTTGATAATACTTCTGTTCTTGTGGGGAGTTTCAGGATAGTGGAAACTGAGTAATTAAAACGACCAGCTCCAGAATACTCGTAGGTAATAAGAAGACAATACACCCAATCATTTTATCGAAAAAATGTATCAGGAGACCAACGAAAAAATATATTGGTTTCCTCTAATACTACCTAGAGGTAATTTAAAGGCCAAGCTCGTACATTCAGATATCAACTACCTTGTTTGTGGGCAGATGTGTAATCAACTTAAAATTCTACATACAAATCCATGTTTATATTTGACGGCGTGCAATCATCACTGGTCAAATCGCTAGGTTAAATTTTGAAGTCTAAGAAGGATACGAACACCCAAGAAGCGGCACATTTTTTTGGCAAAAAGCTTCATACAAAATAACATCAAAAAGAGATCGACTAAGTTCAGGTATGACTTAGACCTCAGATGCCATTTGGATGTTAAGTTGTAATAGTAAATAAATAAAATAGCAGCTATGATCTTTGATAGCACATTGACCTCATGTTGAAAAATTGACTACTATGTCGGAGCTTATAGTAGTTGCCAAGTTTCCAGTGCTTTAGTATTTTTCAGACGTCACAGGGGCTAGAAATGAAAAAGTATTATTTTCTTCCCTAAAACTTTCCTATAAAACAACGTTCAACACTATCACTATGATCAAAGTAAGTCTTCCTATAATTTTCTTCTGCATCACTCACATACTAAATTTTCTATTCAGAAGAAGGATACCATTATAAAAAGTGGCGGCTAGCAAACAATCTCAAATTCTATTAAGTTTAAATATCTCTAAGCTTATTACTCGTACATTCTAAAATTCTAAAAAAAGATACAGAAACAATATATATACCTGTATATACAAAAAGTAGAAAAATAAAGGGCAAAATCCGCAGAAAAGAGGAAAGTGGATTCGAGCAGAAAATAGGATAGGTAACCCGAGCGATACGTATTTCTGCTGGTTGGCTTCATCAGGCCCGAAATGAATGCACATATGAAACTACAAAAGTAGATACACATGCCCACACATCCGGATACGGGTGTAACCTGAGGAAACGAAGATGGAGAGGGAAAAAGATGACACACGAAGTCCACAACAAGAGCCAACCTACACATTGTAGTACAAAATGGCTAGAAGACCTCGAATTTTCAAGGAGACATCTAACCACAACCACGCGGCTGGTTATAGCTACTTGCAACCTTCAGGTTACACCCGTATCCGGATGTGTGGGCATGTGTATCTACTTTTGTAGTTTCATATGTACATTGATTTCGGGCCTGATGAAGCCAACCAGCAGAAATACGTATCGCTCGGGTTACCTATCCTATTTTCTGCTCAAATCCACTGCCTTCTTTTTTGCGAATTTTGCCCATTATTTTTCTACTTTTTGTATATACCTTTCTCCGCATGAACATTTTCTCTATATATGTATATATATTTGAGGTAAAACTGAACACCAACAAACATCAATACTTTTTCATTTATGATATTAGTAGGGAAGCAGAAATAAGCTGTGTGTGTGCTGAAAAATTATTATTGGTACTTGATACAAATCCCAGTTGCTACAAAATTGAAAAATCGAGTTGTTTACACAAGTAGCTGGCGACCGGCGACCCACTGACGGATAAGACGTGCATTAATTCATACACGTTATGCAGAAACTTCCGTAAACTTCCGAAGTTAACGAAAGTGCCGACTTCGATATTCAAAAGGCCAACTTTTAATTCCCTCATTTTCAGCAGGCAAGCGTAGCCTGCTTCTATCCATTTCTTGGGACTCCTTTGTAATCAGAAGTTCTAGACGAAGTCAAACAGGCTTGTTTACTCATTC